CGTGGCATTATTAATCAGGGAGGAAAGAGGTCAAGGTCAGGCTCAGGAGTGGCAATCACCCCTCAGTGCCCACACAGCGATGGCCTTGCCAGTGACAGAGCACCCAGAGCACGGGGAACGTGCTCACACAGAGCAAACAAAGGTGGATCTGAACCAGCTGCCTCCCCAAAAGCCACTTTCTGGTGCCCTTTGAGCAGCAGCAGCAGCTCCCTGTTGAACATTCCTGCTGCAGATCCCTACAGACACACTCAGAGTGTCTGTTACAGCTCCAGGGTCAATGATTAACACGAGTCACCTCAGTGCTCACCTCAGTCCTGCTCACAGGGCAGGGGTGGGGTCTCCATCTCTGCTCCCCAACCCCCTGGCTGAGGCCACAGCACTGAAAGTGGCTCAAGCACCCCCCAGTCAGGTGTCACTGAAGGCTCCCGAGGCTAAATTTCCATCATGTCCATTCATTTCCAGTGCTGGAGCTGTTCTTTATGGCAACAGATGGGAGGAATGACACAACACCTGCAATAACAGAGACACCAGGGCCCTGYTCCACGTTCTCTGTCCACTTCTCCTTTCCTCCCAACAGCCTTCCAGGTGCTCCCATGGAAGGGTCAGTCCCTCATCTTTCCCTAAAGAAGGAAAATGTGAGCACAGCTGAGACTGGAACAAGGGCTGGAAGTTTCCAACAGTGTTTGCTTTGAGACATTTGCTTGGTTTGGAGGAAAAAAAATCATAAGAAGCACCTTACTTTGCTCTCTTCTATCCATCCTTTCCCCCATGTGTGGTTATTTGCACTCATTCCCAAGATGAAAACTTCCAAAGCTTTCCAAAGCATGAAACAATTAGTTTTGCATCCAAACCAAGACAGAATCTCTTTCCTGAATGATAAAATTTGCCTACTTCCTCCTGTTTTCTTCTAGGTCACCAGGAAAAGCAAATAGCATCCTCTTAATGAGGTTAATTGTTTCTGTGGAGGAGGGATTGAGCAGTGTTACCTGGCAGCCCAGAAACTGGCCCTGGAAGCAGCTCAGCCTCCAAGATTTTCAAACAGCACAGTGGTCAAGATCTGCTGTTGGCCACATTTAGCACTGCTGGGGAAACCCTTGCTGTGAAATTGCTCTTGAAATTCCAGTATTAATGCATTTCCTAACGATCACAAGGAGAGCCTACAACAACAGGACAAAGGCTGGTAAACCCCAGCARTCCCAGGGCATTAGAGAACTGTAGGTGAAGATGTTTTTTGCCAAGTTTGACCATGAAAATTGTCCAATATTCCCCCCACCCTTCCTCTCCACACCTGCTGTATCCATGACATGTTACCTTTGATGGTCTCCTTGAGTACAAATTTCACTGAAACATGGGATCAGGGGTTTTTCAGAGAAGATCACTGCATAAACTCTCTTTAACAAGAGCCTTTTTGGAATGTGCTACTCAACAAGCTTCCCTTTGAGGAGGAGCTTCTTTGAAATAAAATCACTTTGCAGAAGGTGTTATTGCTCCTCATTAAGTGTCTTTTGGGTTATTCTATGTAAATTTGATACTGAACAGAAGAAATTCTTGGAGACACCAACTCCTACCAACCCCTGGCCACAAAGCCTTCCCYGAGAAGGGCCACCTGATGTGATGAAAGGACCAGTGCTGTTTGTTTTCTTCTTCCATGCATACAATGGTGAGATTGAACATTCAGCTCTGCTGTAGCTGCTGCACAAGTAAATAGCCTGGATATTTAATTACTGCAGCACATTGCCCTGGAAAGCAATGTGAGTTGTTTTCCTGGCTGGCACACCACACCAGCTTGGCAAAAAAAAAAATCCAAAAACCATTGGAGAGGAGCAGGGATGCTGTGGAGATGGACTGGGAAGGAGCAGCAAATTTGCCTCTGTATCACCAAGAACTTCCAGAGTGATTAAAAACCAGAAACAGAGCCTTACACCCATCCATCCCCCAGAGCCCTGCTGTGCCTGGCTCCCACCTTCTTTCCAGGACAATCTCTTGGATTCACACAGTGCTCTGCAGATTTTCCAACTGTAGGACCAAGGAAAGGGAGTTTGATGCTCCCATCCCCTATAATCACAGTGTTCCTCAGCTGGCACAAACCAGCCAAACCCATGACTTGATGTGCAGCTTCCCCTGGGGGCTCTGTGTCCCCAAGGTTTGTGCAAGGAACAGCCARGCCCCTCTGCCAGCTGGGTGGTTTTTGCAGTTCAGGCAGAGTCCAGGCTGCCACACAAGTTGTGCTGAACATTTCTGTGTGCAGCTCAGGAAAAATGATGGCTCTGTGCTCCAGAAGAAAAGTGACACCCCATTAGAGAGTCTGGGGCTTTGGGGGTGCAGCAGACACGAAACCACAACTTTCCATTTTCCATTAGGATACGTAATGGAAACAAACTTTTTTTTTTTTTTATTTTTTTTAAGGCAACTGCTTGGGTGAGCAATGATTTTATTGTGCTATTAATATGATCATAAACAAGAACAACATGTGTTTATAGGCTCAAGTGCTTCACTACTCGCTCGCTGACTTGGTAGAAATCACCGTGGCATCAGTTTAAAGTGCAAAATGGAGCAAATCATTGTAGTCCTGTTGTAAAATCATCTGGGCAGGCAACCTTTGAACAAAGGCAATTGATAGAACYGAGGCAGCTGTACAACAGCAGTAAACAGAATAGCTGTCCACAAACCAGCAGACCTGCAGGAGAGCAAACACACCCCGTGCTTTGGAAGGGGAGGGAGCACCCAAGGGGCTGGGAAAGGTTTGGGAAAGAGAAGGAAAAGCTGATCTCTGGAGGTGACAGAGCTGCTGCTGGCACAGCAGGCTGGGCAGGGTGTGATGTGGCTGGAGCCAGGAGGGGTGGGACAGTGGCTGCTGTGGGGGGAGCCCATGTGCTGGTCTGATGCTCCCAGACCTCAATTTTGTGTGATCTCCTCCACTCCTGGCACCCCAAATTCAAACCCTTGTGGGCTGAGCTGGGCTGTGCCACCAGAAGGCTGTAGGAACAGGATTGAGGATGCAGCACGAGCTGGGAAGACACAAACTTTCCTGTGGGTTTTGTTCACACCTATTGTGGCAAATGCTCCTCTTTGCCATGTGATGAGGGGTACAAAGGGATGTGGATCCCTTAGGAAAGATCTTCAGAGTGGCAAATGGAGTGGGGGGAATGGCTAAATATTGCATGTGTCCCCCTGGATGTGGGTTTGCAAGCATGGGACCTGCAGTGGGGCTCCTCTGTGGGTGCCAGGACGAGGATAAAAAGAATTTTCCCTGTTCCACAGGGCTGGGCAGACACTCTGCCCCTGCCATCAGGGGATGAAGGGAACAAAAATCTGCAGGAATGGCTCCTRCCCTGGGAATGGGAATGAAAGACTGGAAGAGGCCCCCAAGAAATGAAAAACTGGCGTTGTGGATGATGTCACCCAGTGAGGGCAGGGAGTGAGCAGGAAGGAAAAATTACACATGTCCCAGTTGTTTCACTTCTTGTCCCTCTGCCTCGTTTCGTCTGTCACCAGCCCCCGGAGCATCCTGACGCCCGGTCGACGGTTACCAACAGGCAATAAATAAAACCTCTGGAGCCACTGGTGTCAACATCTTGGCATTGTTTAGGTCTCCTTGTTTGCCTTTAAAATAACTCTCCTCCTCGGGGTCACGCAGATGAAAAAGCGAGGACCCCCTGCCATCATCCATAGAAATCATCTTGCCATGACTTGTGTTGCACTGTGTCGCGCTGAGTTTTTTTTTTTTTCCTGCCTGCAAAGTTTGGAGTTTGGGGAGCTGCCCAGGAGCACTGCTCCYTACCCAGGGCTCTGCTGCCTCTTGCCAGCCTGTCCTTTGGCTGTCACCTCGGGCGCCAGCAGGTCGCCAGAGCTYGGGCCACATCAGCCATGTCCCTGACTCCCAGGGCACATTTGGGCYGCGTTTGGCGATGGTGTATCCTGCCAGCCCCGTGCCTTATCTGCTGCCTGGCTGTGCCTGGCTCTGCTGAGGATGTTGGCCAGCCASAGAGTGGAAAAACAAACGGTGGAGATGTGGATCCACGGTGAGAGCCTGGCCCTGCAAACACCGGGAGGACCTGGCGCTGGAGGGATGCCACCCCATGACCCTGGCACTGCAGCCTGGCATCATACAGGCTGCTAATGAAGCTCTGGGAGCACAAGAAGTTCACCTCCAAACAATTTTCACCCATGGGCTTTGAACCCCAGACCAGCCTCAGTGCTCCCCAGTGCTTGGAACATCTCCTTTCCTCCAGCAAGGGYTGCCTGGTGGAAATCACCCTGCTCCATCTCAGCTGAGCTGTGACTTGATGTCAGATTCACTCTCCCTGATCCTCTTTAGCCTGYTGTTTATAATAAAAATCAAGCGATCCATCTCTTCTGACAAGAGGAAGAGTTGCTCCAGGAAGCCCTGGACAGGTCAACTTCTATATTAAGGAACTATTACTTGACAGTTTCCTGGCCATAAATAGCTGAAAAGCCAGGCTGGGGAATTTATTTAGAAATAACAAATAAARTAGGCCATGAGTAACTTCATGACCYTCATGACCTTGCTCCCTCATCATCTCCCACCCATCTCCCCTCTTCAGTATTGTCTTCTCCTCATCCCCAGGTTCTTTGCGATTTTCAGGATCCCCTTTCAGAGCACATCTCCCCATTTCCCACTTCTGAGATGCTGCAGAAACATGCTATTGCCAATTTTTGGAAGTGTGATGTGGGTTTTGCATCACTGAAGGTCTTCTGCTACAGCACAGCTCCAAGAAATTGTTTTCTACTTGGCCTTCATTGAAGTAATTAAAAAGCAATCTGCTCTGCATGGCTGAGAGCTGGAAATCCTCCACTCAAAACATCCCCAAAACTGGATTCAAACAAATACACCTCCAACACAYCCCTTATTTTTCAGTTCCTCAAGCTTTTTCTTAAGCTTTGGAGGACTGAGTTCCCATTTCCTAATGCTCAGACTTGGCAACATCAAAACCAACCAGAAAATACAAAAGAAAAAAACCAGCATTTTAGTATCCTTTTTATTATTGGGAGGTTTTGACCATTTTTGTCATGTYGTTTGCCTAAAATAATAATAAAAACCTCTTTGTTTGGAGCTGGAAGGGGAAGAGCAGCGTGTTTATTTCAGTATGACTCATCAGCTCAGTGTTGATATGCAAAACGCTTCAGAAGCTAACACTCTATAGAGATGATCGTTTTTAATATAAAACAGTAAATGTTTAAAACAACCATTGCTTTTTTTTTTGTTTTTGTTTTTGTTTTTCTCTCTTTTCTTCCTGTTGCGGCCAATAAAACATACGGTAGGCCACGTAGCTTACATTTTAATAAAATTAAGTTATTTGGTGCCATGTTATTACAGTCTTTTATTGGAAAGTGGAATAAATTGCACACGGTGGAGTCATAGGAGGGAGAAATCACTGCGAATAAACATAGATTCTGGGACGCATTTATTTGCTGGTTTCATCTCAGAGGAGGAAGGCTTTCCCTGGGAAAACAGAGACGGCCCTGGGTCGAGTTTTTTGGGGATCTGGTGCCACTCTGGGGTCATTCCAGCCCCGTCCAGCTGGCGTTTTCCATGGGCATCCTCCAAGAGAAACCTGTCCCGTGGCCGTGGCTGGACACGGCGCCGTCCCGAGGCGCTGGGGTGGCTCATCCTCCTGCCCGCCAGACAGCCCCAAACATTGGTCCCGAGGCTTTCTGCTGGAGGCTGGGGGTCCTAGGCCAGTGCCAGGGCACACCAGGAGTCCTGCCGGAGGGGCACGCTCAGCCCRGGCTGCGGGGCCATGCTGCCGGGGGAGAAGGTGTAGTCCTCGGGCTCGAACTTGAACTCGCCGTGGCCGCCGGCCAGCGCCTCGTCTGACTGGCTCTGTGCCTGCCCGAGAGGGAAGAGAGGGGCTTTAGGGAGCCTGGCATTAACCACTGCCCCTTGTCGTTATGCAGAGTAGGATTGGGATGGGTCACAAACAGGGTGGGTTATCCCTGATGCTACAGCTGCCCTTCACAGGCAGGAAAGGCGCTACACMCCCTGCAATCACAGTGACCAGGCAGGGAGGAGGCACCCAGGGMCCATCTGCATTTATTGGTTAAATATGTCTGATTTGGAGATCTTTAGGTGCATGTATATTTTTTCAGAGTGCAGCACAAACTGGATTTCTTGGTTTCAAACAAAAAATAACCCATCCCATATGGTGTAACTGTGGCTGTGACGGGCCCTTGGGTGCTGGGGTTGAGTTTCCCTTCCATGTACACCTTTCCAGCTAAGGAAGGGCTTGGACTCACATAAAGATGGTGCTGGGCCAAAAAATTTTGATGAGTGGGTTGATTTAGAACTTTTTTTCTTTTATCAAGATAAAATATCAACCAGCCCCAAGGAAAACTTGGGACAAAACAGGGGCCTCTGACACCAACACAGCTCTGCAGCCATGGAGCACCTCAGGGCTRTAAGTGCAGATGACACATGCCCAGGGAGCCTTTTCTTGGGATCTACACAGCATTCCACACTGGGCTGATCTTCCCAGCTCAGCAGGGTTGTGACTCCCACGATTTCATGGCAGGAGAAGGGAATTAAGCTCAGCTCTGCACTGAAGCWTTTTCACCACCTCTGGCCAGATCCCCACGGCAGAATGAGTGATCTGATGGGAAGCCAGCAGGCTGGAGACCTTTCTCCTGCACATCATTCTCCCTGCTTTCCTCAGCCTGAGGGAGCCCACAGTGCAATGAATTAATTGTTTAACCTCATTAAGGCCCCCCATCATGGTGGGTGGGGATCCCCCACCCCAGAAGGTGGGGACACTGGGATACTGGGGACACTGGGGACACTGCTCCTTACCTGGGACACCGCCACGATGGTTTGTCCGGGGTACTGTGAGGTTGTGCTGGGCTCTGACTTTAAAGTGACCGTGCTGTCTGAGGTGGCAATGGAAGAAGGGGAGTTGGTGGCCGAAGTCGTGGATCCTGTAAGACAGTTGGTAGAGGGCAGTGAAGCAATGTAAGTGCAAATCTGCTCTTTTTAAAGAAATTTATATTTTAATGGGAGCCATGACATCTCATGGCATGGCTCTACTGTTCTTTTTCTACCACATCTCTGTCAGAAAAGGCTTTGTATTTGGCTGTCAAGAGGATGATGGAGGAGAAAGGAAYCCTTTCAAAATCTGGCAGTGTATTTTTCCCAATTTAGCCCAAATCAGCTCAAACATGAGCACTGCTGCACTGGAGCCGGGTGCCCACAGCCCAGAGAAACCTCACAAGGATGTGACAGCACTGAGATTTCCCACCAAGCATCCTTCTTCCACAGTGTTTATGCAAAAATACAGGCCCTAGATGTAAAGCAATCATCAAGGGGAAAATCACATTATTTTCTAATTATTGTAATTTTCTGCAGAAAAGGAAACATTGAAGTGAACTGKGCTCCAAGCCCCCAGGATGGATGATAACAGCACTGTACCTGTTGAGGCTTTGCCTTTGGTAATGTTTTTAGGCTTCCTTTTCCTCGTCTGGATGCTTTCCTTTTTCATGGCCAGAGGTCGTGGTACCTTGACATTAATGAAGTTTGGAATCATTAATATTGTATTTTATTCAGCTCCCTCCCACGTGTGTTGCTGTCCTATTTATGTGCTGTAGCTCATGCAAAGCACCTAAAGTCCTTGTCCTTCACTAAGAGCTATTTTTCTCTGCATCAGGCCTTGGCTGGAAGATGTATAAGGCTAAGAGCTAAGGCTTTCCCACAAATTTTGTTTTTTCCTTTATTTTCTATTTTTTCTTTTCCTGATTTATTAGTGACCTTTATGACAGGGCCCCATTAAATTACAGTGACAGACTGAGAGTCTGCAGGGCTCACAGGGAATGGGCACGGGGTAAAGAGGCTTCAGCCTTTGTGGCAGAAGTTTGAATCACYCTTTATGGAGGGATGAAATCTCCAGTTTGGCTGATGGGGTGTCACCATCAGCTCCCATCCTCTGTGGGTAAATGCTATCAGCCAGCTCCATGTGGGCTCCTCAGCATTCTTTGCACATTCTTAATTAGTACTGAGAGAAGAAATATGCTCCTTATCTCAGTTTGGGTTTGGGGAGCTGCAGCCTCCAGCTACTGCAGCCTTGTACACTTTTCTTTCATGGAATCCTGGTGTGGTTTGGGYTGGAAGGGATCTTAAGGATCKTGTAGCTCCAGCTCCTCTGTCACAAGCAGGAACACCTTCCACTATCCCAGGCTGCTCCMAGGCTCATCCAGCCTGGCCTKGGACAYTTCMAGGSATGGAKYATCCACACYCCTGGGCAAGCTGAGAGCATCCCAGTATCCCTCAGCTTCATCCTGGGGAGCCCCAGTGCAGTGAACTTTCAGCTGTTCAGGGAGACAGGACTGGGATACAGGCTGATCCCTCCAGAGCTGATCCCTCCAGAGCTGATCTCCCAGACCTGCTGGGAGATCCCAGCAGGAGACCCCAAACCCCAGAGGGTCCCTCCCGTTGGGGACACACTCCTCACCCCGTGGAGCTTCATGTAGAGCCCGCAGGCGTTGCAGACGGGCTCGCCCTCGGCGTTCCTCCTCCACAGGGTGGTGTTGGTGGTGTGGCAGTTAGTGCAACAAAGGCCAGCACGTCTGGATGAGGACTGCAAAACAAGCCAACAAACACGTGAGTGCACACACAGGAGCCAGAAACGGGGAAGATTCACATAAAAATGAGATCTGCAAGTACACCATATTCCCAGAAAACGTGAAACGCACATGAGAGCCAAACTGATCAAAGAAATTACATTCGAATGAGATCACTCTAATTTGCAAGTGTTTGTTTTAGTTTTTTGTGGGTTTTTTTGGGGGTTTTTTTTTGGTTTTTTTTGGGGTTTTTTTTCCTTGAGATTGATAAACCTGGAAGATATCCTTGCATCTCGTTTCACAAAATTCCAACAAATCTGCTGGAAACGATCAGGCCTCAGAGCACAGAGAAGTTTCCTCCAGGAGATCCACTCAGGTGGAAAAAGAGATGGAAAATGCCAGCAAGGCTTTAAATGCATGAAGAAAACTCATGCTTTAAGTGAACTCTTCTGTTCTCCTGCATTTAGAACTACCACTAATGTTAGCATCATCCCAATTAATCTCTAGTTTAAGACAATTGGAATCAKTTGGCTGAGCTGAGCAGAACCAAACTGAACTGGTCCATGGTGCGACGAGGGAGGTTATTCTTCACGTCTCACAGATAATCTGTTCTCTTACAGGCTGCAGAAACACCCTGCAGACATTAATTAATGACATATTTTGTGAGTGCAGTGATTGCTGGCTCTGAAACATTCATAATTCCAAATGCAGAAGGAAAATGTTCTGGCAGAAGCAGCAAATTCATTTCTGACAACTTCCCTCCAAACTGCTGGCAAATTCACATCTCTCTTTATACAGATCTGTCAGCTCAACAGGTATTTCATTTGAGAGTCTTGTAACACCAGGTATTGAAACTATTTTAATTAAAGACCTTGTTAAGTGTAAGATACCTGTGGCATAAGTAATATCTCAGGTTCTCCWCATTCAGGTGCCTAAATAAGTCCTTCAGCTATCAGAAAAATTGCTTTGAATCCACTCAAAAGTGGACAAAAGGCGATGCAGGCAATAAAAAACTCCCTGTTTGYYTATTTTTCCATTATTTCTTGATATMCTGACTGAGCAATATAACGAATGAGGTGAGATGAGTAGRAATAAAAATGAAATGTTTTTACAAGGTTAGCAGTCAAGTAAAGATCAGCTTTGAGTTTCGAGAGGCACAAATGACATGCCCTAGGATTGATTCRCTCGTTGCTCAGCAAAGAGGACTCAGCAACTATTTGCAAATAATGGCATCGCTTTGGGAATTATTCAGCTTGCAAGAAATAACCAGGCAAAAATGATAACACACCAAGGTGTGAGCTGACAAGCCTGGCACAGAGGATGGGACAGCAATTCTTGTCCCTAATATGGGACGTGGTGGCGCAGCAAGATCCTACAGAGTGCTCTCAGAGCCTTTCAGCTTCCAGGGCTGTGCCACTGCTCCATTCCAGGAGGGACCTCGGCTCTGATGGGAGCAGAGGGAGGTGCTGAACACCTGATGGATGTGAGGATTCTGAGATTCAGCTCCTGCTGTGGGTGAAGATGGGAATTTGGAGGCATTCAGCCCTGGGACATCTGTGCCTGCTGCAATCTGTCCTTGCCTGCAGATGGGGAAAGACCAGTGCAAAGCCCTTCGCAAATTCTCAAATTCTCTGGGCCACCACATGCTCCTGTGAGGGAGGGACACTCTCCCAGTTTCACAGGATGCTTTGTCCACAGTTTGCAGATGAGGTGACAGTGTGCCCTGTGGCTCTGGTTGCCCAAGGGCCATGCCCACCCTGCCAGCACTGTGTCATGGGCCTCCTGCTGGGACAGTGACAAGAGCTTTCTATGCATCCTGAATGCCACTCTGCAGTCTGGTGCCTCCTCACACAGCCAGGGAGAGGAGAAACCACCCTCCACCACCAACATTACAAATTAAACCTCAGAAACCCCATGAGAACCTGCCCCTGCACCACAACCTGGCGAGAGACAGTCAAGGCTACTGCTGCTCACTGAAGGACGAGGGTACAATACATTATTGCTGGTTTCCCAGCAATTCTCCCGAAAGAAAATGCATTTCTGCCTGCCTCCACCCTGCTGCCTTTGTACCATGCTGACCTTGTCTAGGAAGTTGTTGACTTCAACATTGTGCTCAGTGTTTATTTATACAAATGCACCATACACTCAAACAAAAACTCTTCACGGACCTGGCTTGACAGCCAAGTGCTGCTGATAAGCTCAGGGAATGGTGAGYTGGTGCCTATTGAATTAACTGCGTGTGAGAGATGCTTGGAGAGCCCAAAAGTTTCAGAGCCAGCAGGGCAGGTCCTTCCGAGGGAGACCAAGCTGTCAGAGACTTTGCTTCACCTCCTTTTCAAAGGTGGAAAAAAGCCACAGCAGGTTTCACAGGGAAAAGAAAAAAAAAAAGCCACTGAAACCCCAGATTGAATCAATGTTTCTCTGCCTGCATCTCCAGCAGATTTGAGGGGATCTGTGGTTTACAGAAAAGAAGTTGTAGCAGAGTGTGCTGAGATATCTGAGCTCAGCCCCTGAAAGGAGGGAGATCCGACGCTCAGAGCTGAAGGCAGCAGCAGCCTCTGAGATTTGCCTTTGTTACTCTGGCTCTGGGCAAACCCTGRAGAATGAGGGAGCAGCAAGAACTGAAGGGCAGAAAAAAACCAAGGCCTGCATCACGAGGTGGCTCTAGGATCCTTTCAGACTCTCCCATCACCACCTTCCTCAAAAATGTCACCAAACACATTGCGCGCTGCAAACTGTAGAAAAGGACAGTTGAAAAATATCTCTTAGGCTGAGGTGGAAAATATATCCTCTAGGCCAAGCTGGAAAAATTCAGATTAGAAAAATTCAGGTCAGAATTATGCTGCATCTGCCCCCTGTGCTGCACTGTACAATGCAGAACTCCTCCTAACAGAGGGGAATTGCACAGGTCATGAAACTCCACTGGCTGCTCCTGGTTTCAAAAGGGATTTGACTTTTCAGACTGAGTCTAAGATATCACCTTGTGAAACACACCAAGAAATTGGCTAGAAAAGGTGCTGCCTAAAATAAAGAGTTKTCTCCATCCTCCTCTCAAGCAAACCCTTTCTCCTGAAAGCCACAGCGCTTTGAATCCAGACACAGGATGGAGCAGAACGGCTGCCCCTGCTGCATAGAAGATGTTGCCCGTATCTCAAAAAAAAAAAAAAAAAGAAACTAAATGAAAAATGAAGTGGAAACTACACTGCTAGTGCTCTCCTTTCCCCGTGCAGGAGCAGGCTGAGCTGCAGGACATCATTCCTGCAGTGTTATCTGGGCCATGTGGTGCTCTCTTCTGGGGACTTTGCTTTGTGAAAACAGAAGTCAGAATAACTCCCAGCGCAGTGTCTACGTACAGAACAAAGGTCGTAACGTAAAGGACACAAGCAACCATTTTTCCTTGCYGTGTCTGTATTTCACTGTGCTGTGAAAGCCAATTTCTCCATTCCTACAGCCATGGAGTGTCCCTGACATTCACAGCTCTGCCCTCTGAGTTCACCTGGCACCCTCTTGTTCATCACCAGTAAACCCTCTCCTTCCAATGGGACAGAATTTGTTGCAACACAGCATTTTAAACCCTTGGGAAAATGCAAAGTTTTAAAATGTCTTGTCCCAAAGTCAGGATGGAAAGTCAAAATTGCAGCCTTTTTTTCTAATTCATAAACCAAAATCTCCTCAAGTATTTCAACCCTARCAAAATGCTTCCCCTGGACAAGAATCAGCTTTTTCATTTGAGCTTTATCATTATTGTATTTATTGGCAAAATAATAAAAAAGGTGGGAAATGCTTTGGTAATTTCCAACTACATTTGCTCATCCCTGGGAAACAGTCTCAATTCTGCAAACTAGCATTTTCCATCAGAAAACTTTGTTGAAATGTTTGTTGAAAAATGTCTGATGGGTGCTGTGGATGAGGCTCAGGAAYGGCTGCCTCCCTTCTCATGTGCTGAAACAAATACAGAATAACAGCGAGATATCTCCAATTCCCTCGGGGAAAAGCTGCTCAAAAGACCCCAGAAATTCATCCAGTGASACATCTGGATGCCAGTCTGAAATACAGAGTTGGATTTGAACTGGTTTGCATCTCTCTTTATGCATGAAATTTTTTTTTACTTTTTTGTCTGAAAAATTTAGCAGTGTAACTCTGAGATTTGCGGCACAGCAGCGACCAAGGGTTCAGATTTAGTGTCATCACTAATTAAAAAATTAAATTTAATTAAAAAAGACAGAAGGATTTTGGAGAGACAGGACAATCCAGTYTGATAATGCTAAMTGATTCACAGAAATGCCTTGATTTWAACGTAATGAACAAAACAGGGGGATTTTCCATGGAGTTACTACTCATTTAATTTTGAAAATCCAGAGCAACATTTCTGGAGGTCAGAACCAGAATGAAACATCTTGCTCAATCTCAACCTTTTCTTTTTTTCCCTCCTGATTTTCTTACACAGAAACCTGTCACTGTTGGGTTATTGCTCATAATTTGTTTTGCAATACAAAAAATAACTGCAGGAATATTTTCACCCCGAGTGAAAGCCCAAGGAGCTCCCAGCTGTTCCCCAGCACGGCTCCAACAAACATCCTGTTTGTAATGATGCCGTCTGATGACAAGCTCGAAAACCAAAACTGTTACCACCAAATTTAAACATCCCAAAGCAACTCCANAAAAAAAAAAAAAAAAAAGGACGCGCCTTTCCTTTCTCTCCACGGGATCCCAATTGGAGGAAGCCCAATATTACACTGACAGAGGGAATTAATGCTTTAACCAGCAGGGAAAGTGGGAATTGCCAAACCCCAAGTTTTCCCCTCAACAGTGGGGAACTGGGCTCTATCCTGCTCCCATTGTGAGCAGCCACAAACACGCTGGGCCAGCTCAGGAGCAGCCCTGCCTCCTGTTCAACCGCCCTGCCTAGACTGTGTGTGTCTGCATGGAGAACTCGGAAATAATAATAATAATAATAATAATGATGATGATAATAATGATGATAATAATAATACTAATAATAATGATAATAATAAAAATAATAACAACAATAACATACAAAGCATTGCACCCGTTTCAGGAACAGAGCCAGGGGAAGCCCGCAGGGTCCCCACCACACGCAGGGCTGATTGTCCCCTCTCGGCTCTGCTGCAGATCCTCCGTGCAGTCCCGGGACCCCTCCGGTCCCTGTGGCCCTGTCTCCACCGCCAGGGAAGAAACCCCTCTCTCTTCATCCCGTTCCCCCTGATCTCAACTGGTTCTGCACCTCAACAAGGGTGTCCTGGCACTTTATTTGTAGGAGGACAGGGAGCCAAACAGACCCTAAAACAAGCACAGAGACCCCAACAGCACAAACACCGTGACAGCACCCCAATTCCTGCCCTCCAGCCAGCCCCGAGGGGAGCAATCCCGGCGGGGTTCCCTCTCTTACCAGCCTCTTCTGCGGCTTGAGCGGCCGGTTGATGCCGTTCATTTTGTGGTAGAGCCCGCAGGCGTTGCACAGGTAGTGCCCGGTGCCGTCCTTCCTCCAGAGCGGTGTGGACATGGCTCCRCAGTTGACGCATTCCCGGCCATCCCCCGGGAATTCCTCCAGGTACTCTGGAACAAACGCCCGCGGTGTGAGGGTCAGGAGCCATCCCCAGMTCCCGGGGATGTCCCCGGGGACCCTGCGGGAGAGGGTCTCCCATCCTCTGTGTCTTAATTCTAGGATCAATCCCGGTGCAGAGGGGGTTTACCTCCACCCTGCCACGTGAAAACAAACCCCTGTTTTTCCTCCACGCCTTAATCTTTTAATATTTTGCTCAAAGACAGCAGATTCCCCCATCCCTTCCCCGAAAAAGCTCCCAAGGGGCTGAACGCGGCTGGGATCTTCCTGGGATGGGGAGCCGCAGGGCGAACAGTGGGAGGGTGCGGTGTTATCCCCGGGTGCAAAACTAAATGGGAGAGGGGGCAAAATGGGGCGATTCTCCTGAMTTCGCTGATGAACCACCCCCAGCCGCCGGGCGGTGGGGTCGGCCCAGCCGGGGAACACTCAGGACTGCCCGCGGAGCGATGCGGGGCTGACACCCGCGGGGCTACCGGGCTTCCCGGGAGAGCATCACCGGCCGCCAACGGCYCCAATTCCTAATGCTAATTCCACCTAAGAGGCTCTTCCTCACTTTTTCTGTCCCCAGGRAAAAAAAAAMAARTTGCCGGGAAGAAGCCGCGGAGCACCATCCGCGATCCATCCCTGCCCCGAGCGCGGCTCAGCAGCAAACGGGCAGCCCGGAGCGAAACCCGAAACCGGGGACCCCTCAATCGAGAGTCAGTCTTTTTCCTCCTACAGCTTTTCTTCCTCTTTAAGAAAAAAAAAAAACAACAACATATTCTTCTCGGTCTTTTCTTACTAGGAAAATTAGCTTTTAATTTTTTTTTAATTAAATCTTCAATCAGATTAACGATGCAACTCAAGGAAAAAGAAAAAGAGCAAAACTTTAAAACGGGGAAATGGAAAATAGAAATAAAACGTAAAGAGRAAGATTAAAAAAAATGCTGTAATTCATTAAATAAAAATAAATATTTAAAAAAAAAGTTTAAGCTACTTGAGAGAGTTTACACTATCTAAGAGCCAAAATAAACGACAGAGAGGACGGCAGCCGCTCTCCTGGATTCTAAAGCACCGAATTCAAAGTGCAGAAAAGATTTCTGAGGCATCGCCTCCCTCATCAGGACGACCCCTTCTCGCACAATGCCACGGATTTTCACAAAGAGAAAATCCTGGGAAGAAACCACAGCCCAGCAYCTCCGGCATGGGAGCAAAAGCCGAGCCGGGAGGCAGCTCGGTGGGGAGGGGGATGCTTCTCTGCTTTAACTTTGTTCTTGGGGTGAAGATAAGATAATTCSGTTCACCACAGCAAAGATGATAACGCGGCTGAAATCTTGAAGTGGCTTTTAAAGGACTTAGCAAACCACAGCCGGAGGAGGCTGGTGAAATGCCCCTGGGGTTATAAACCCCGCGCACGAAGAGTCCTGTTAAATCAAACCCAAAACTTTATTTGCTCAGAGCTTGGTTTAAAAGGAGTCTCGGTGTGGATGCAAAGGAATTGAAGTTTATTGTTCAACGCCTGAGCGCCTTTCGGTGTCTCCCCAAAGGCCGCAGAGCGATGCAGCTGCGGACCTGTTTGGGCRAAGGCGAATGAGGAGCCCGAGAGTCTGTTCAAATATAAACTAATTTACCACAATAAATTACTTAAAAGGAAGGGAGCTATAAATCTGCCCCGCTAATTTAAACACAAGGGTAAGTATTGAAGCACAGGCACAAAGTCGATATTGTGGGAAGGAGATATCGCAGGGGTGGTGGTGGGGTGGGGAGGGAAGGGGTTGAACGGCCTCTGCTCCTCTGTCCTCCCGGGGAATTGCTCTGCTTTGAAACGTGGTCTTTGCCCTTCTTGTCACACACACAGCCCCCTCCCTATCCCACCTCTGTCCAGGGTCAGCTGCACATACCCTGTTCCCAAACCATCTYCCCATCCCTGGATAAAATCATCTTCTCCTCTCCCGTCGGGGATGCCAGCGGGACAGGGCCGCCGACACGGTGGGGGGATGGGGATGGGGTTTGGGATAGGGATGGGGTTTGGGATGGGGATGGGGTTTGGGATGGGGATGGGGTTTGGGATGGGGATGGCTCCCACCCGGCTCCCCGAGACGTCGCTGAAACGCTGCAGTGACCTACCGAAAGTGGACCTGCGGCCGGGCAAGGCCGCCTGCCTGGTCTGCAGGCTGTGCAGCACGCTGCTCTCAAAGTGTCCGGCCGTCCAGGAAGGCGGTATCTCGGGGGTCACGTAGGCGGGGTAGGGGCTGGAGTAGGACCCGTTAACGGAGCGCACCAAGGCGTTGCCGTACTGCTCCCGGCCCCCGCCGCCCAGCAGCAGGGGCCCCTGGTAGGCGCCGTCGCGGCCCGAGGGGCTGCTGCCCGGCGGGCTGTGCGAGTACGAGAAGCCCGACGGCGGGTGGGGGCTGCCGGCGTTGAAAGCCGCGGCATCTCCGCCGCTYTGCCCCCAGCCCGCGGGGTTGCCGAGGTGGCTCTGGTGCGGCTCGCAGCCTTGCAGGTAGGGCAGCGTCTGGAGGACGGAGGGCACCCGGGTGGTGGGCACGTAGACGGGCGAGCCGGCCGACGAGTGCAGGAAGTTGCTGGAGTCGTGGGAATAAGCCGACTGGCCATGGTTGGGGGTGAGGGCCAGACCCTGATACATGTTCCGTTCCGTTCCTGGCGGCGGCGGCTGCTCAGGGCCCGGCCGGCTGCGGCCCGGCGGTGCCGCGGGGCTCACTCACGGGAACCTGCAGGAGAACCGAGAGCGGCAGGCTGAGACCCCGCACACACCGGGCACCCGACGGCCTCTCCCGCCGAAAACACCTCTTGCCTG